AAATATCTTGTATTTCATAAGTAGACAGGGAAAACCACTTTTAACGTCAAGTAAAAAAAAAGGAAAATGTGCAATTACTTCAAAACAATTTAAAACATAATAGATAATATCACAATATGAGTATGGGGATTTTAATTCACATCAACATTCAACATTAAGTAAGATTATATGTTACATTAAATTGGAATAATTCATTTAATCTCCGTTAGATTTACTTGATATAACTGGAGTAGGCTTGGAAAGGTTTAGCTACAATTATTATTACCGTCGCTATAAAATTACAAGAGAATACGAAATAAAGTACCGAAAGATAAATGCTCTGCTTATAACCCAATATTGTGTTCTGTATATTTCACAGACAAAAGTATTTAAATTAAAAGTTACCATATAAATATTTAAGTGCTTATAGACATTAATACAATTTATACATTCTCAAAATAAATTGTTTTAAGTCAGGAATAGGCAGTTAAATAATTTATATATTTTATAAAAAAAACTCAATAAAGCATGTTTTTATATTTTTATGTTTTTATTAATCTACTGTATTTTTTAAATGTTTATTTTTATACCTTTTTGTAATTATTATAATTATTATTTATGTACTTTTTATTTTTAAGCTAACCTTTTCTTGTATAATAAATGTTGGCTTTTCAACAGACTTCTCTAGCACTGATACATTAAGTTCACCTGTGTGAAAATACAATGATTTTGGTAGAAACGAATTGGAGCATAGTAGAACGTAAAGTAAATAGGAATAATAAATTAGCGGATTACATTTTGGTGCAATCGATCTTAGAATAAGTTATATAACTATCGTTTACAATTGTATTGTATTCTTGATTCTAAAGTTTCTGTATTCAATTTAATGGCAAGTATGTTAAAGTAGGTAGGTACCTACTATAGTGTACTAAAGTTGGTTCAACTCAAATAGTAGCACACATAGAAACCTAAATTCTGTTTTTTTCCATACATCAAACAATCTAGGCATGAAATGTAATAAATGTATTTATGTTCAGTTTTTTATAATATATTAAAAAGTTATTCATTTTATCATTTTATAAATTGTATTATTATTTAATATTCAAACAATTATTCCAACTAAAAACAGTAAATAATATTGTATACCTATCTATATCATAAATGTTAATCACTAACGAAAATAAATCCCAAGTTTACTATTCAGAATTCCACAAAGAGGTTGCTATTATTAAAACGATATTGAAGTTAAAATTTATTACATTGGTTTTAATATATTATGCGTCAATGACAAATTATACTGACAGCCAGTGACAGGCTATTGACGGATGTTTGTGTTCCCAGGTTTATATTGAAATTTCACAACCTAACAAAAATAAAAAACGATGATGGAATCAGTTAAATATGTTGTCATTTTAAAGTTATTGTTAAATTCCCATAATATTATACTAATATAACATAACTTAAATGTGCTGATAAGTATGGAAATGTATCAACATAATATAATATATAATTTATAAAGATTAATTAGTTATCTTTATACGTATACGCTAAAATCTTAGAAATTATTTAGTTCACTTATTGTAAGTTTGTAGAGTTCTTTTTTGAACTATTTTAACGTAAATGTATTACTAATAATGTTACTACTTACTGATGGAGACAATTGTTTTTATAAACTTCACCAAATGTTGAAAGTAATCTACATTTTTATGTAATATTGTTTATATTGACATAGGCAACATTTACATTATATTGTTTATCAAATATTTTGGAATTGTTTCTAATTTTATATGTAACTGGTAATTACATTTTAATAACAGTCACCGTTTACATACAATTTGTATATCTTTTTTTCTTTTCTTTTTTTTTTATTGGACACTTTAGCTTCGACAACAACAACCTTTAGCTTTTTGCAGTTGGTTACGGTTAGTCGAAAACACATGTTTATGGGGGCAATGATTCGTCACCAAGAACCCGGGTGATCACCCATCCGGTATCACTCATTATAGTGACTGTGATACACCAAGTTCGTCTTTATTATACCTACACATAATTGTAGTTTTTGATTGGAAAATCATTTATAACTTTACGTCTATACATAATTACGTTTTATAAGACATAAACTATTTTAAATTAAAAAGAAAACTTAAATACCTATGCAAATATCCAACTAAGTCTACGTGGCATAATACTATACCAAATCTCACCAAAAGTACATGACCTATTAAAATACATGATGTTGACAGAATATTGTTCTTTGATGTTTCTAAAATTACTGTTCATTCAGTAAATAACAGTCGGCAAAATCAAGTTACGTTACATATCACATAATATAATATTATATGAACCGACATAATTTGCCTTCAAAATAGCAAATATAATAATCAAAAGCTGCAAAATTTTAGTTGAAATAGCAAAAATCATTTAATTGAAAAAAATTAATAGTAACTAAAAAATATTGAAAATATAGAAAACAAACGATATGAAGGAAATTACTTTTATCATATTACAATCTTAAATTATCATTTTTATATCGTATGTTTTTACTAATTTTTGAACCAGTCCAGCAGGATTTTTTCAAGTACTTCTTTTTTTCTCATACCTATTATTCATTTCGGATAAATGCAGCTCATATTTAATTTCTTCAAACGTTTAACCAAATAAAATATAGCTAACAATAAACTTAAATCTCAATGCCAAACTTAATAATTATTGGTCCTTACTTTTGGCCCATTGGCGTTTTGCAAATTTGGTATCAGACAAGTTAAAATAGATTACTTAGAGTGTACAAAAGCTTAGAACAAACCCAATCAATTACCTATCAATAAAAGTTGGGTTTATTTAAAATCTACTATACGCAGAGTGGAGGAATACTATTTTAAATATGTAAACCAAATAACTGACAACATTGTATGAAATAAAAAAATAAAATAAAATAAATATAACACCAACAAAGTGGTGGAAATTGAAAATCCTGGACAATTTACCTTATCTGTTTTTGTTTTTACTTTATTTGTATACAATAATTGGGATATTAATTTCAAACACTAATATTTTAAATATCTTTTAATTATAATTATTTTTATTTAAATATGCAATGTATAGTAGATAACCCTGGGCCTCCACATGAGTATGTCTCAGTGAGTCCCAGTAAAAACAATTTTAGAAAAAAACATTTGCTTTCCCATATTTATTGAGATTGCATGAAAAGTTAGCTAAATTGTATTGTTATACATAAAGTTAACTATCATTTTTATTTTTATTTAAAATTATGTCACCACAGTTGGTACATGCATATACCTAACTTTACTCATGGTCTGAATTCGTTTTTCAATAGTTACTGTATAGATGATATTATTATGATACGCATTATATTGTACTTACATAAAAAAAATCGATTTTAAGGTTCTATATAGCATGTATCCGCCTATATATATATATATACATATCATACAACAACAATGATCGTCGAGTATAATAAATTGCTTACCCATCAGCTGTCTTCTTAAATTTCGTTCATCGCCTTTAGACACTCTAAACTCAAAAAATATCATACAATTTATCGAGTGAATGCGTCTCGAATTTTAACATAAATATGATATCATAAAAGGGACGAAAAAAAATGCAATAAAATGACAGTTATTAGTTTCCTGTTGACTCGTGAAATCTAATAAGGAAAAAACTCATCTAAGATCAGTTTCTACACGTAATCCGTTGTACTATAATGGGTATTATAATGTGTGCATTACAACAAGGCAATATAATAAAATACTATGTTTGTAATAGTTCCTTTGTTAAAAATTAATAATTATATTGTACATAGCATTTAAGCTACAATATATCTCTTTTATTAAAGGTCTATACGTAATTAAAATAATATATTGTTCAAACTTTCAGGCCTGGTAATAATATTTGTGTATTTTAATGTTTTTGAGGCGGCAAAGTATAAATGTGCATTTCTTGTAACAATATGATAGAATTTCATTCGGCCTTCCGGAAACTACACAATCTAATGTTCTTTAATAACAATACTAATAATGAGTACTTACCTATATAATGTGACAATGTGTACTAGATCAATACATTTAAATACTTATTTTTATAATTAGTATTGTTTGACATACTTAAATATTGCAATGTGAAAAGGAAAAGGAAAATTTATATTTTATTTTCTAAAATAAAACATCAAATAATATTAATTCAAAAGTGTTTGTTGTTTCGTATTCGTAATATCTTACAAAATGTAATCTGGTTAAAATCAAGTTTAAAATAAATACGTAATAATTAATTAATCGTATTCGCATAATATAAAACCGCAACTTGTCCAGAACATGAGTGTAATTCAATTAAAATTAACATTGTGATATTTATTAATATATTATGAATAACCATATTTAGTTTAATTATTAGATTTAATAATTATTATTTTATTTTATTGGAATAAAAAATATAAGATCCGAATAAAATGAAAACTGTATCAATTATATGTGGTCTTAACTTTTAATTAGCCTATAGGTACTTACTATAACTATACAATGCATGGTATTTGGAAACGGTTTCTACGAGCCACGAAATACCACCTCGATACGAGAATAATAATAATATGTAGGTCACGTTTTCGTTATTTTTACCCATATAATATTTTGCTTCGTTAATTTCGAAAATAATTATCCCAAAAATGCCATTAGGAGCAAAAATCATTTTCGATGGAATTTGGGAACGCTATAACTATATGTTTCACACGACCCCAGAAATGATCACATAAAAGCAAAATTTCGAACCGAAAAGTAATAATAATAATAATATGTAATGATAATTTATAATGGTTCGAACGTTGCTTTTCTTCGGTTAATATCTTTGTCGTCGGAAATCGACGGTTCGAGAAAGTGAAAATGTCATGACCCCAAACGACGACTTCCACTCTTATGTGTAGGGGACACACGCCAATAATTGTCGTAATACAATCGTTACCTTTTATATATATTTTTTTTATAATGTTTTTCCTACGATTTATTTTTTTGCAGTGTTATTCCATCGGGCGATCCTGCTCAGTGGTTCTCCTCTGAGTCCACTATCTCTAGTCAGAGACCCTGTGTACTACGGCCATCAAGTGGCCAAGTTGGTCAACTGTTCGCCAGATTTGCAACACTTGCACCTGCTCAACTGCCTACGCGACACGCCGCTGGACCAGTTGTTGAACGCACAACTCCACGTCCCCGAGTTCACCACTGCGTTCGGGCCCAGCGTCGACGGTGTCATCATCGACGTTGGAACTGCTGCTGAGTCCAGCAGACTCAGCGCCCAGTCAAGTGAGTGAAATAGTAGTATTAACTGTACTTCGATTTGAAATTTCAGAAGTTAAACTTTTGAGACATTTCTAAGAAGACATTTCTGAAATTGTTTAATATTAAAATAATAATTTAAAAACAAAAGCTTAGAATATACTATTATTTGTAAGTACACAACGCAAAGAAAATTCTATGATGTTATAATAATACATCTAATAACGTTATGTAGATTTTATATATTCATTCATTTTTAAGAAACTACCTAAAGCATCGACTACATACAGTACATTTGGGTCGAGTGGTTTTTGTTACTGAATAGTTACAGACGTGATTGTCATAATGATATAATGAAAATATATTTCTTGTTAATATTTTTCACAATTTGATTTTTTTTAACAATTTTAAATTTGTAAGCAATTTAAAATGTATTGATGTGGACAATTATTAAAAGAGCGGAAATTTTTATGCTGATGTAATAATAATACATTATAGTTAAATCTAAAACCACATGCATTTGATATTTAGAACAAATATCTAATTCAAATGTCACGTAAGCACAAAATATTATATTAACTAAATACTTCGTTATCTACCCACAATTCATGTATTCGCTGACAGTATATAACTTATTTTATAAACTATATATAATAATACGTATAACCAATAAATTATTTCAATTTTTTTTTTATTGTTTAAAAATGTGGTATCTTTGCTTGGATATTTTCAGTTAGGTACATTTATTTCAGTATATAAAACTAAAATACTATTTTCAATTTTTTTTTTTTAAGCCGATCAAAACATACTAAATAATGTTGTCAAAGTTTCTGTCTTTCAGTCTTTTTTCAAATACATGAATTGATCAAGCATACACTGAATTTAAAATGAAATAATAATTTATATAACTTATATTAATAATGGTAATCAAATTATAATATTGACATTGATTTTTTTCTTTGATACGCACATTGTTTGATTTAATAATTATTGATTTTTCTTTCGCTCTATTCGATGTAATTTTTGTAATAAAGTTATTTTGTAATTTCTAATTTCTGCACTTATGTTAAGTATTTAGACTTATGTCCGTAACAAATAAATAAATAAAATAGGTTGTTAGAGTAAAATGTGTATTTAATTAACAAACTCTAAAGTCACGTTGTACCATACAACAAATTAAGGTCTTCATTATTTTTATAATAAATAATATAAAATATATATTTTAGTCTTTAAAACATAACACAATCACAATGGTTTAAATTTGTGAATAACTTTGGTGGATGAAAAATTAAGACTCTTAAATTGCCAAAACCAGGTGAAGCCGTATCAAATAACAACTTACAACTCAGCCAACCGTATCTGTTCTGTAATCAAATGAAGTCCGCAATGCGTTGAAACTTTTTTTTAAGTTATTTTTAAAAAATGTATTTTTTTTTGTAACACGCTATGATGAATCGTTGCGTGAACATAAAGAACACTGTTTTTCACTGGCTTGTAATCTGTTTAAGTCATTAATGCGGAAATGCGAATAAAAATCTAAATAATAATAGTGAACTCAGTCGTCATTATTCCCCGTCTATATATAGCGGCCAGGAACAAACGTGCGCTAATTGCTTCGGATACAAATTTACATTCGTCTCGATCTTAGGTCACAGACGGAGGGAAGGATAGGGGACAATAACGATAGTGAAATAATAAAAATAATACACCGGAAACGAAAAAACCCCTATATCGCTGCCAGCCGCCCGAAGAGTATTGGTTTCCATTGGAAACTTAATCCAAAGTGCGAGGAACTCGACGAGGTTTTGTTTATCCCGGGAGGGCTCTTATCGTTCATGCTAATGGGCCCGGAGAGGTTTCGGTTAGGTCGACCTGAATAAATGGGATTGGTTTGTAGAGCGCAGAGTTTTGAATAAGCGGATTTTTATGTGAATAAATGGATACAATGTCGGGTGGGGGGAGAAGGTGTGCGTGCGAGTATAGTATATTTTTTGTACCGTCTTGACTTATATTATATGATTTTGCTATATTATATGAACGACACTGGCCCCCATGCGGAGTTGTTATTGTCCACCAAAGTCACACACCCGGAAGTGGATGATCGAATACCTTCCGTCATTTCCCCTTCCGCACGTCCACGTCGTCTCGCCAACAGAAAATAAAATTGTTTCCGCCTTGACGACTGTTTCCCACCCCATCCCCCTCTCCTCCCCTCCCCTCCCCAAACACCTCCGATGCACGGGGCACCGTGAAGGATGTGTTCTTAACGCTCTCTTTTCGTCTGATTTTCGTTCACGATTCGTTTGGCCATTACATCAGTCGTGCCTGCGACGTGTGTGCGAATAACAAGGAGAAGGCGCACTTACTGAACTATGTTTATGTACAATGTCACCGTGCGATATACCACACCTACCCTGTCTGTTGTAGTCAACTGCAATATTCTATCGTATATCAGCTGCAATCTGCCGTTGCGATTACGTGATAAATTAAACTGATACACGCGTTGTTTACAAGTTCAAACAAAACGCAATTTCGGATATCGCAGCCTCGCGTAACGTTGGCTGTAACACGCATGAAATTCGGCCGAATTGCATTATACAAACTCGTTAGGCAGTACATTATCGTACACCATATCCGAATGTATAATATTGCCAAACAACTTTTAGACGACCGAGTTTATTATAACAATCTCGCTGACGGTGCACGTACATAGTTTTAGCGTTTCAGCTTGCATTTGATAATATTCACGAGGTAAGCATCGTGTGTGTCTTAACCCCATACAGTTGGCCGCTGATTATCGTCGTTCTTTTCTTTTTTTTTCTCAAATGCGTTTAATCCTTGACGTGCTTGCGTGTGTGTGTATTTGTGTATTTCAGTGTTTTTTTTATTTTTTTTTAAACATTATTCTTTTCTTTCATTTTTTTTTTTTTTACATTATTCGTATCGGCTACTAATGGTTATGATTTGATTTATGAGTTTATTGATGTCTTTTTCGCTGAGAGTCTTTTGTTGTTTCCGTTGTTTCCACGTGATCAGAAATCAATGTTTAGAAACCGTTTTGTATATTTTGTTTATTGTTCACCTTAATGTATTTCTTTAGTATAGCATTTAATTCCGAGCTTCTTATAATATTGTGTTGTTTGTATATAAGTGATTCCAAAATTTAAATGATAAATATCACAAGTGACAACAATAATGACATGAAACAAAATGTAAACCTTTCATAAATAATTTTTTACATCCTTACTCCTCCGATCGTTGCTGAATTTCCACTCTGATTTTCGTATGCATTTATTCATCAGAGTCCATAACTTACAGTTTCCTGTGTAAGATTAACTCATGTTGTTCTGACAATCCGGTGGCGATGAGTCATCAACCCTTACTCCCAACTCCCATGGCACACGATACGAGACCCATGGCGACACCCTCAAGTATTTATAAATCTTACGTCTACTGATTTCCGGTCGACTTCCGTGTCACTGACTGCCGAATCATTAAAGTTTGATCGGTTTCACCGATTGTGTTGTTACTTGTTTGTTCTGCTTTCAAAACCGAGTTGTAAATATTAATATAAAAATACAAATAAAAATAAATAAATAGAAAATAGTAAAATCAATGCATTTTTATTTTTACTGTTTTAGACATGGTTTAAGTCTAGTTATATTTTTATAAGATTTGCATAGTTTGCTCTATTGGTACTCGCTTACCGCTATAAACAGACTGACATAATATTATGGTGTATGCGTGTGTACTGAATGTGAGTGTGTAGTCGTGTGAGTTGAAATCAACAGTGGTTGGGATTATCGGCAAATACGGACGAGTTACGTAATGGAATTAGTTCCATTTCCAATGACCATTTCTAACCTAACCTTGTTGCCCAACAGAATACAAAATATATATTATAATAGATACTCACAAAATTAAAATAATGGATCACAGGCTGGTCATCTAGTAGTGTCTATATATATTAATAGTGTCGCACACTTAACAAAAAATAATATAATAAAAAACGTTGTCACATTTACATTAGATTTAAGTAGTACAAAATTAAACGAAAACGTGCTGATTTCTCTTAAAATTAGTAATCTGTAATAATAAATAAAACCTAACCTACATTTAGTGATTTGCATCAAAAAATAAAATATGTCGAAATATGCCGAAATTCAGGCGCCCGCTAGTATTTATATTATAGTAACAATAATAATATAGTAATTTAAAGAAAATAGAAAGAATATTTAGGTAGCAAATAAGCGTGGAATTCGGCTATCAGGACAATAATAATATATACTAATGATATTTCACAAATAATGTGAAATAATGACCAGATAATTTTCCGTTATAATTACGTGTGTGTTTGTATGTGTGTGCGTACGTGTGTTATACCGCGGTCAGATATATATACGTTATATGGACTAGGTCCATTTCTCCAGGACTGTTATGGCTGCCGGTGGTGGCGGACGATTATCATCATTCAGTGCTAACTGAATACCACGCCGAATATGATAAAAATAATACCTAGGTACATAATCAAAAATATATTATTTCTTAATGATATTAAATTCGGGAAAACTAGGATGGATGCTTAAGTGAAAAATCTAAATAATATTACAATATTATTATAAGCATTATATTAAATTTGTTAAGAAAATGCGTACTCTAATGTAAACATTTTTAATTAAAAAAATTGTTTATTTTTAACACGATGAATAATGGACAATTTATTATGCAGCAAAAGTTAGAGTTTTACTTTAATAGATTGAATAAGATAATAACAAATAAAATATAAAAGTCTCTTATCAACATTTAAAACTAAAACACATGAATACATTATGCTTACGAGGTGGTTTTTCGTATAATATAATATAATATATTATTATCTTAAGTGATGAAATTAGATTCTGATTTCAATGAATTGGAATAAATTAACTATGATAATATTATTATTTGCATTTGCATTTACAAGAATATTGCCAATCAAATAGACAATTTTAATGAGCATTATTAGAAAAATATACCTGCACTTCCTTGTTGATAAGCTAATGCACCAATACGACAATACCGTATCACGCAAATGACCCTACAAAAATCAAATTTTTTTGTTTTGTTTTAGACGGTCAAGATAATGGACCCGGTAGACCGCCAGAGGATCCAAAGGAATTGGTTTTAGCCAACGGATTCGGGCCAGCTATTCTAGCTAATCCTTCGGCCCGGCAACGGTTGCTTTCCAGGTTGTCGAGATTCGATCTGATGTTGGGTGTAGTGCGGGCCGAATCGTTTTTCGCATTTACCGGCGACGATGTCCAATACGGTATCGAAGCTGATCGAAGGACTAAAATTCTAAAGACTTACGTCAAAAACACATACAAGTAAGCGTTCGACACTCCGTCTGCCATTCCTCGCGAAATCGTGTTGTTCACGTGGTTTTTTTTCTCTCAGGTACCATTTGACTGAAATATTGGCGACCATCGTCAACGAATACACCGACTGGGACAGACCGGTACAACATCCGGTGAACATCCGGGACGAGACGTTGGAAGCCCTGTCCGACGCCCAAGTCGTAGCACCCGTGATCAACACGGCCGACCTCCATTCGGCCAATCGCAGGAACTCGTATTTGTTCGTGTTCGATTACCAGACGAAGTACGGGGATTATCAACAAGTGAGTTCTGACATCCGTCTATGGTTAAATTAAGATTAATTGGTTTCAATCCTTGGTCTTACAATATAAAATAAATATAGTATACAGTTCAATGTCAATCGAAAACATTTTAAACGCAAGTTAGGAACGCGACATCCGTTTTTGTTCGGCCCTGGGTTTTTTCGTATTACACAATATTTAATATTCCTCTTAATATATAGATTTAGCCGTCAATATTGATATTGTCCGGAATCAATACGTGTAAATAGTATGGCGTATAGGGTACCGGATATTAGTAGTGATTTCGGTATTTGTTTTGGTCTGTGATCTTTCAACTAGCCAGTCACTTGAACAATAGTAATATAATATTATCATTTCCAAATGCAACCTACCATATTATTCCGATAAGTGACCACAATAGTTATACCATCCATTAATGACCGAACAATACATATTCAAAATTGGATATTTTCATGTAATGAATGAAAAGTTTACAAAATAAATAATTTTAGCAACCGTTATGACTTAATATTATGATGCGCACGTTGAAATTACGTTAATAAAAAAATGCTATGTTTAATTTTATTTACCTTGACATACTGGTATTATAGTCGTTTGAGCTGCATATTATGTATGCCAAAATATAAACTTAAGTATTTAGTAATAAAAGTTGTGATGAATAAATATAATATAATGTAATATGTATAGTTACCATATTGCTATCCAATAAAGTTATTACAATACAAATAGTTCAGAAATATGTGAATAACAAGTGCCTGTCAAATGTCAATAAGCACTAATACTGCTTTTTCAATAACGAATACCTATATACATTGTTATACCGATAACGTAAAAATGTATTCTTTTTAATTAAAAATAGTTTTGGGGTTTATAAACAAATACCTTAGTCGTATTATTATATTTATTTTATAATTTTTAGTAATAATCGTTACCAATACAATTGTTGCCTGTTGGTACAACGTTCTATAATACAACACAGAATAAGATTCAACATTTCAAAAAAACTTTAAAATATTAAAATACGATTAATCAATACTTAAATACGATTACATCTGAAGATTAAAATGAAATATTATATATTTTAATATTTGCATTTTTAAATTTGTATCAGTTGAACTATGCTGATGATTCATTTAACATGATTCAAAAGCAATAAAAATAAATGATATCTAAACCAAAGCAACCATTGAAAACTTTTTATTTTCTCGTAACAACGATTTTGTGATTATTTTCTAATGAAAATATTAAATTAAAGAATTCTAATATTATTTTTTTCTTAATACACATATTGTTATTTAAAAAAAAACTCATAACAAGAATATTGTATTAAACATTTGACGAGTGATAATAGATACAAGCACGTTTAAATGTATCGTTGATTTTATAATTTATAGCTCCTTGGTTGCTTAGGTTGAAATTTCATAAAAAGTGTTTATATTTGCTGTTTGAAAATGTATGGGAAATTTGTCATTCCAGTGTTTCTTTCCCTAGAAAATTCGATTAGATAACCATTCTCACACTCTTCAAATCTTTAGGTTGTTTCATGTTGTCATGTTATATTATAGTCGCCCTGATTCGCCGAAGAGCATATAAAAAAACCATGCAGAACATTGTCGGATTTCAATGAATCGAAACCTACTTAATCATATTATGTTCGATTTTAAAAACAGACGTCGATCATTTACACTAAAATCATCAATGACGAAACGCAGTAGTACGAGTTCATAATATCACACCATTGGCTTGCTTTGCTATACATTTCCTAGAAAATATATGACCGTGCCATGCATAATGATCAATCGGCATTTTAGTGCGATGAAATGCCATAATATCAACGCGTATAACTTGAACGAACAAACTCCCAGAACGGATGACTCGTCGAAGGTAAAAATATATTGAAATGTTAGTTTTCGCATCAGGCACTTTTATTAATGGAGTGATTGTAACATGATCAAGCGCCGTACGAGGTTACATTAAAACATTATTTTGTATTCTATTGGTACATATTATATATCTGCTGTATTACTTGCTCGATGCACACTAGCAACAGAAAATATAAAACGAGATGTTTTTCCGTCTGTATCCCGGCGGGAAATCCAATTTCCTCAGAAACTGATTCTAAGTGATCAATGAACAGGTTAAAAAAAATAACAATAAGCAAGCATACGAACGGATGTGGATGCAGGGGTGGCAATACTCCGATAACAATATGTCTGAAATAAATATTGTTTACACATTACATGGAACCAGGAACTTGAAACGCCGTTTGATTTACTAAGAAATTGAAAGTTGGTAAGTAAATGTAAATTACCTAGTATACCTACAAAAAATGCAATATAAAGAGCAGTGTGTTTTTGACAAACTAATATAGTAATATGGTGAGTTGATGTTTGGTTGGACTGGAAGGTGTAGTGAAAAGTGAAAACCACACATCACAAAACTCTTGCCTCATGACTATTAAGCGTGATATAGGACCCGTTTAGTAAATTATTATTGAACGTTACACCAATAGCTGTAATAATTATTATTGATATAATTTGAGAACTTATACATTTACTTTCATCATCACAAATAAAATAAGTATTATATCTTTCAATGACCTAAGACATCTGTTACAAATAGATTGAAACTACAATAATGTGCAGAATTGCCAGAATCAGAAATTCTCTACAGAAAATATTTGAATCGCATACCTGACACTTTATTATTTACGATATAAGACCGCAGTGATGACCAGGGTGCTTCTTAAAATTTTGGAAACCTGTAATGTGCCCACCTCTTGTGGACTATAAAACTTCATTTTGAGTTTATTTAAATTCAACAATATCGATGTCCAGATCCACTTAAATAGTTGATATTATGCTTGTATAATTATTATTAAATGTTGTGTCACACCATTTGCAGCAGAACTGCGCCACTTGTATCAGTCATTATTATTGAGATGGTTTGTATAAGGCTATTCTGATATTCAATCATTGAGATGTGAAAATTCAATCGATTTTGAGGAAACCGTGTGAAGACGTCGCTCAACTATTAATGAAAACTAAATTAGAAATGGAGACAAAACAGTTGTGAACCTACTAAAAAAGATTAAATATGTACTTTGGATTCGATAAAAAATGTTCCGTCCGTTGGACAAGCAAGTCGATAATAGTTTGATGTGAAAACTGTGTATACCCATAACAATAATATAATCGTCGTGCCATCAGACGAGTGGGAAGGAAAATAGCTGCTATGTTTTCGGTCTTTGGATTTAGCAGGGGGGTATACAATATTATAGTAACTCCGCGATCACCGTTACTCGGAGAAGGGTAGATAAAATTCAAAATTCCTACGCATCCCGATCGTCAAGGTTATTTAATAGTATGATAATATCTATTCGTATTTGACACATTCAAAATCTACCCGTATTATCCTGAGTATCTACGCTACAAATCAATATTTATCAATTTGGTTTTTTCAACAATAGTAGGTATAAAAATAATGATTTTATGGCAACAATAAAAAAGAAATTCATTTTGTAAGAATTTACTGACCAAATTGGCACAGATTTTTTATTTTGTTGTCATGTGAAGATAAATACATATATGGATAATAATATTATTGTATGAATGTTAACAAAAATAATATTTATTACTAAAATGTAGAAACTGTAGTCATTTAGAATTTATCGTGTTTGACAACTGCTGACCTCAAAAAATTGTACTAATTGTAGATTACGCTGTATGCTTCATCAGTATATAATAGAAAAGTCTATTTTTACGTAAACTGTCATAAAAAGCCGCATTCAAATCGAATTGAATTTAGAATATTTAGATATAAAATTATGTTTGTTCTATCAAGCATTTCATTTTGAACTTTTTTAAACTCTAAAGATAAATATGGTTTTTTTGTCAAAATATTAATTTTTATAACCTTAAGAAGGTTTTCAATGTGTTTAATAATTATTGCGTTTTTTCCTTGGAGTTGTAATTTTTAAATAGTTTTTTATAATATACTACATACAAATACTATGATATGATTTTCAAAAAAATCAAAAACAACCTTATCTATAACCATGTGAATCTATACTTGCCTGGTTATCAATTATACATTCTGATGGTACATATAAAATATATTATTAATTATTATATGACTGCAACTATAGGTTCAAACTCTTACAGACGTATGATAATAAATCGTGTAAGTATAATATTTTATGTATAGTATTTATTTGCACTGTAATGGTGTATGGAGGTAGAAGCGACTTTCACCATCACTCTTTTAGAGAGTGTTGAGAGTAACTTTTCGAACTTTTGATAGTGCCAACGGGCGTTGTGTGGTGGCTGGTGGTGTTGCACGAGCGGTAAGGGATGTGAAAAATGCGGCGAGCGACGTTGAGGCTGCCGGCGGTGGCGGGAGATGGCTATAAAAAGGAAATCGACCTATCTGGACCTACGGGGACAAGGGGTCGTATGCTGTGTCGATAGGGAGTGTGGTGGTGTGGGGAGGGGGGAGGCGGTAAATTTCATTTGTGACATTGGGTTCGCGGACGGGTCGGACGACGTTGGGGGAGGCAGCTACAGTAATGAATAAGACCGGCAGGAAATAAAAGACAAACAACGTTCGTGTTGAACTCTTCTGGCCCGGTCTCTGATTTATAACGCAGGTCTTGTATATATATATATATAAACACACCCACCGCGTCCGCGCCCTTATTTACCGTCCATCCGGCTCCTGGCCGCCCCTAACCGATCGCCGCTGTTAACTTCCTCTCACCCACTGCACCGACCGGCGGAGCGGCGGAGCGGATAAAACGGGGACGAGGAATATTTTTCAATTAACCACCACTTTAGGTACGCGAGTGTCCGCTCTAGACGTTTTACGACAGCATACAGGTACACTTCCCCCTCCCCCCAACGACTCTTATTCGGCTGCAATCTGGTCGCAACCTAAATGTTTTGTTTATCGTGTATGCCTATACGCATTAAAACTCACGTGCAATCATTCGGAGTCGGTTT